GAGCCGAAGGCAGTCGCTTAACCAACTGAGCCACCCAGGCGCCCCTAGAACTTCATTCTTACTCATTCACTTGTTCCATCTTCCTTTCTCCCATTCTCTCTTTTTAAGCAATTTTCATAACTTAATTAGAACTTTCTTGTTGTGTGGATATAGCAGCTCATTTCTTACATTCTTCCTGAATGTCATTGGACTCTGGGTTAGACTTAAAAGTAACAGGAAGCTGTTTGAATCCTTATGCCTCAAGTCGGGATTGTGACTTTGATGAAGAGAGTTTGTTCTCATTCTGCGTAGACACTGGGAAAGCTTAGTATCTTTAGGGTAATATGTAGCTGTATGATTTTGTAGTCTGGTTCAGTATCATTTGCAAGAGGAGGTATGATAGTAGAGTTTTTTGTTTTTTTTTTAAAGATTTTATTTAATTATTAGAGAGAGAGAGATGCGGGGCTTGATCTTAGGACCCTGGGATCATGACTGGAGCCAAAGGCAGATACTTAACTGACTGAGCCACCCAGGCGCTCCTGATATTGGAGAGTTTTTAACTAAAAATTGACAGACTTCAGTCCCAGTTTTGACATTGTTACTGCCATGCTTTGAGTTACAGTATGTTTTTTCTCATCTCCAAAATTGAGCTTATCATTACTTGCTTTACATAAACCTCATGGGACTGTTGAGGGTCAGGTGAGAAATTTTGTGTGGAAGACTGTTATATCAGTGTAAAGGCTTGTTACTGCATTGCAGAGAGCTGTAGGCATCTTTCTTCTTTTTATTTTTTTTTAATTTATTATTATTATTTTTTTAAGATTTTATTTATTTGACACAGAGAGACACAGCAAGAGAAGGAACACAAGCAGGGGTAGTGGGAGAGGGAGAAGCAGGCTTCCCGCAGAGCAGGGAGCCCAATGCGGGCTCGATCCCAGGACCCCGGGATCATGACCCGAGCCAAAGGCAGACGCCTAATGACTGAGCCACCCAGGCACCCCATCTTTCTTCTTTTTAATCAAAGACTCAGTTTTTATTTCTGCAGACTTTTTGATGGTACAGCCCTGTTATGAATCAGATTTTTACATTTCCATACTTAATCATGGATGAACAGTAGTGCTTATAGTGCCTAATTACATGGTGGGTGCTCAGTATATTTTAGAAAGTGGATTTGTTGAATGTGATGCTAAGAAAACATCAGTTTGTATGGTAAGGAACCATTTTACAAAATCTATTGGATAGTGTTTTGAAGAGAAATATCATTTGTTTATTTTATGCATTTAAAAATATTTATTGAGGGCTAACTAGGTTCTGGGCACTGGGGAAGAAAACAGATTTCTGCTTTCATAGAAGTTAATTTATGTTTTATGTAGGGAGATAGAATAAACAAGGTAAAAAAGTAAAAATCATTATTTTATAATGACAAGTCCTAATGAGAAAAGTAAAAGCAGGAAAGAAGAATAGGGCATATTGAGGGGAGGGATTGAGTGGTCATAGATGGCTCACAGAGAAGGTGACATTTGAGTGAAAGCTTGAAAGGTGTGAGAGAGTAAGCCATGCAGATAAATGAGCGATGACAAGTGCAAAGGTCCTGAGACAGAAACTTGCCTGGGAAATGGCAAGGATGGGGGGGCGGGTAGGTGCTTATCTTGTGGTGCCTCAGGGAAGTACTTTCCAGACTTTAATGTGCATATGGTTTAAGTAGGTGGTTGTTGTTAAAACTCAGATTCTAATTTTGTAGGTTTGAGGTAGGGTTCATTTCTAGCATGCTCCCAGTTGCTGCTGGTGCTGTTGGTCCTTTGTAGGGCTTTAGCTTTTAGGCTCAGTGAAATGGGAAATCTTCAGAGGGTTTTGGGTAGTGGTATGACATGATCTGATTTCCATTTTGACATCATGCCTCTGGCTGCTGTGCTGGTAATAGGCTCATGGTAGATTTGGCAAGAGGTAAGGCAATTGCTGTAATCCAAGTGAGAGAAGACGACAGTTTGCACTGTGGGGTGGCAGTGAATGTGGTGACACATGGTCTGGTTCCGGATATATTTTTCAAGTAGAATCAGCTGGTTTTGCTGATAGATTGGATGTGTGCTCTGAAAGGAAGGAAGGAGTTAAGGACAATTCGAAGGTTTTTGCTCTAAGTTCCTGCAAGGACACCATTTATTCATATGGGAAAGACTGAAAGAGTAACAAGTTTGGAAGGGAAGAACGGGAGCTCAGTTTTGGACATGTATTATAGATGCCTACTAGACTTAGTAGAGATGTTGAGTAGGTAGCTGCTTTATGAGTCTGGAATTTAGGAGAGAGGATCTATTGTAGGTATACCACTGGGTGTTACTGACAAAAACATTATATTTAAGTCAGGAGGCTGGGTGAGGTCACCAAGCAAATGAGTAGAGATAGAAGAAGTTAAAGAACTTAATTAACTCGGGAGTGGACCAGAGGTTAGAGGTCTTCAGAAGTGAGGAAGATGAGGAGGAGCAGTCAAAGAAGACAGCATCAGCCAGGGAAGTAGGAAGACAGACAGGTGAGAGGGTATCCTGAAGCCAAATGAGGAAAGTGTTGTTATCAACTGTGCTAAATACTAAACAATTAGGAGGAGGGCTGAGAAATAACCATTTGATTTAGCAGTGCGGAAATTATTGGTAATCTTGGTAAGAATAGTTTCAGTGAGGCAATGGGAGTAAAAATCTGATTGGAGATGTTGCCTTTCCCATAGTAAAACAGTCCTAAACCCTGATGAGGTTGTATTGAGGTAAAAATCTGCAACTCCTGATAAATGTCTAGGATAGGAGAAGATTAAGATGTTTAAGTACTGTTACTAGCGACTGGTTTGATTAATTGCTCATTTAAATTGCAAAATTTAAATTGCAAAACGTGCTTTGAAATCTTTAGGTATTCTCAACCACTGATTCTTAGTTCTTGAATTTTTATTTCGTGCCTTCAGGGTTTTCAAATCATCCTTAGCAGTTATGATAAAAAAAAAAAAGAAGAAATGTGAGGATTTGTTAGGAACCAACTGGCTCTCAGCTACTCTTCTTTCCTAGGTTACATGGCTGAAAGACACCTTAAAGACTAATTGGGTTGTTAAAGGGGACTGTGAGAACCGCCTCACACCTATCTCTTCCTTAGTGGAAGTGTTAATCTTTGTAGCATCTTCAACCTGATAATCTTGGGCAGACAACCAAAATAGACAAGTTATGCTTAGATATAACTTAGTCTTTATGGAAGACCTCTTTTTCTTCATTTGTTTATTTAAAAAATATTTATCAAATACTTGCATGAATGTTTGGTTCTGTTGTAGCTGCTTGAGATGCAATGCATTAAAGTTTTTGCCTGACTGGAGTTTATGTTCTAGTTGGAATGAAGTAGCAGATTGGGACCAAAACTTGTTGGTGGTCTCAGACTAGTACTGGTTGTCCTAAAGCTGTGTGGGCATATGGGAATCACAGAGAAATAAAATTATAGTAAATATATAACATAGAACACTATGGTGCTATTAAAAAATGACACAAATTACTTTATTTCCACTAGAATTTACTAAAATTTAAGCTCCATTAGTATCCATGGATAGATATAAAGTTTATAACGTAAAGATAGCATTAAGGAGGGCACATATTGAATCGAGGTGTTATATGCAAACAGTGAATCATGGAACACTACATCAAAAACTAATGATGTGTGGTGATTAACACAATAAAATAAAATAAAAAAGATATAGTCAACTGTAAGTAACAGTAGCAATATCTAACAGCTGCCTAAACAGTAAAGACTCTAAATTGTCTCATGTAAATAGAAACAAGGAAATAGGTGGTTCAGGGCTAGTTTGGTAGCTTGGTAATATTTATTAGACCCAGGTTTTCCCCCTCCTTAACTCTGTTATCCTCAGTATATTGTTTGTTTGTTTTCAGTTTCTCTGTGTAGCCTCATGGTTGTAGGATGGCTGCCTTAATTCTAAGCAGTACGACTAACTGCATTCAAAAACAGGAAATGGAGGGCAAAATATTTTTCTAATGGGAAGACTCGGTCATTTTAAATGGGGAGAAAATAATTCCCAGAAGTCTCCTAAACAGTGCTTCATGAACTTCAGGAGTGTATGTAAGACTGACCTAGGAAAATATAAATTCCAGAAGTAGAGATTCTGAAATCTGTAGGTTTTTAGTGGGGCCTGGGAATTTGTATCAGTAATGCACTCCCGTTTGATGCTGATGCTGTGAATTTGAGTAACACTGCCATATGCGTTGTCTCCTTACGTTTCAGAGAGGGTCATATTGCTTTCTGCCCCTGACCCCAGGCATGTCTGGGAGAGTGATTACCTGGCAAAGAGAATATGATAGCCATAGTTGGCTTCGACTGATCATGAGTCATCTCTTGGGGTTGGGCACATTACTACCCTGAACAAATGTGAATTCCGATGAGGAAGAAGGGAGAAATGGCTGTGGGGTTGACAACTAAGCATCTGGCACTTTTGTTATTATAAAAGTTGCAGTGAATATCCATGCTCCAAAGAAAAGGTAGGTGTGGTTAAAATTTTTATAGATATTTCCAAATTGTGCTCTAAAGAATTGGAATCAATTTACATTCCCATCAGCAGTCTGTGCGTTTACTTCTTTCTACTGCTTACAAATTAGACATGGGGCGCCTGGGTGGCTCAGATGGTTAAGTGTCTGCCTTCGGCTCAGGTCATGATCCCAGGGTCCTGGGATTGAGTCCCGCATCGGGCTCCCTGCTCATTGGGAGCCTGCTTATCCCTCTGCCCCT